CCTTCCTTCCTTCCTTCCTTCCTTCCTTCCTTCCTTCCTTCCTTCCTCTCTTTTCCCCTCCCTTCCTTCCTCTTTCTTTTTGAGACAGGGACTCCGGTAGCCCAGACCGGCCTTGAAAACCTCGAGCTCACAGAGATCCACCTTCAAGTGCTGGGGTTAAAGAAAAAAAATGTCAACCCCAATATCCATGTTCATATATATTGTAAAGACCAGGTGGGGTCTTTAAAAACTGCACAGCAAGCCTAGGGAATTTAAGCCAGTGGTAGAGCTCTTGCCTAGCACGCACGAGGTTCTGTTCCCAACACACAACTCAACAAACCAAAACACTTACATAAAATATTCCACTTGGTAGCAGTTAATTTTTCAGAACAAGGGAATGCTTCTAAGAAAGGGAGGCACCCTCAAGCCATGCAGGATGGGAGAACGGGGTCTTGCCCTCTGTGGGCTTGAGTATGTGTGAGGCTGCTGTTGTGAGCTTTTAACTCCAAGACATGCATAACTCCCCCGGGAAAGGGAATCCGGTGACGGGGTGGGGGTGGGGTGCGTGGGCACTGAATGGTGAGCACAGCAGAAGTGGCATTCCTGGTATTCATTGGCCCCGGCTCCGAAACACACTAGAGGGTTCACGTCTGCGTCTCGGAAGGGGAAGCAAGAGATCTGGTTCTGTCTAGGAAACCACAAGATGCTGTGTCCTTCTGGCCTATTGCTGCCCGACCTGTGACCGGAGCAAGCAGGGATGAAAGAGGGCAAGTGAAAGGCATTGAGACCAGCCAGAACCGGTGCCCATCGCAGAGCTTGGAGAAGGAAAAACAGGTCTCGGCTAGATGCCCCACTGCTGTAGCCTGAAGGGACGAGGCAGGGCGTATGCGACGTTAGAGGTTGTTGGTGGCTTCTGGGAACAGTATGGTCCTTTGCTCCCCACTGGGAAGCACCTCACTGCATCCTCCCCATGTTTTTTGGAAAGTCACGGGAAGGCAGTAAAGCCTAGAGAGTTAAAATAACTTACCTGATGCCCCAAAGCACCTTAAATAGCCAAGCCTTGTCTTTAGGTATTCCACCCCGGGGCTCTAGGCAGTGGCCCCTTTCCTGTCATCCTCTCCCTCCTTTGTAAGCAGAGCCACCCAGACCGGTATCCAGTAGAAGAGGTTAAAACTGCTAACATCTAATCTAAGAGCAATAGCAGTCACTGGTGGTGTTCTCTTGATACCAGACTGTGCAGATGTCCAAAAAGTGTCCTCAGAGTCCCCATTGATGGGGACCATTGCCCCATCTCAGCAGTAAAGAAGCTGGGGCTCAAAGAAATTAGGTCACGTGCAAAAGCAGTGTAGGGCTACACTTGTCTCTGTGTGTCCCCAGGACCTTTACACTAACTCTGTGCTTTCTCAGCTTTTCTTTGTAGGTGGGTATTGTGGCTGTGGCTCAGGTTCTTCTTTTTTTTTTTTAGATCTATTTATTATGTATACAATGTTCTGTCTGCATGTACACCTGCACACCAGAAGAGGGCACCAGATCTCATTAGAGATGGCTGTGAGCCACCATATGGTTGCTAGGAATTTAACTTAGGCCCTCTGGAAGAGCAGCCAGTGCTCTAACCTCTGAGCCATCTCTCCAGCACTTGACTCGGGGTTTTACTCTGTAGTCCATGTTGGCCTCTAACTTACCATAATTCTCCTGCTTCAGCCCCTTGAGTACAAGTGCTGACATAAGCTCGTATCCACACCTAGTTACACTAGTCTCTTCTGATGAAATATTTCTGTTGAAACTTTCGTCGCTTTGGCTTTTTTCAAGAAATGGTCTCTTGGCTCTGTCCTGAAACTCACTATGAACACCAAACTGGCCTTGAATTCATGAAGATCCTCCTGCCTGACCTCCCAAGTGCTAGGATTAAAGTCCTGTGTCATCATGCCCAGCTATTTTTTTAAAGTTTTGTTTACATTAATTTATTCATGTATGTATGGGTGTGTGGTAGTCAAAGAAATCCATTTTAGGAACTGGATTTTTCTTCTACCGTGTAGCTTCCGCAGATCGCAATCAGGTCGCCATGCTTGGCAGCAGGCACGGGCACCCACTGAGCCATCTGGATGACCCCTCTGCTGGGTTGCATCATCATCGTCATCAATACTGAGGGTCCAGCACATGCTCCACCACTGAGTGACACTTTTGTATTTCTGAGACAGGGTTTCTCTGTGTAGCCCTGGCTGTCCCAGACTCACTTTGTAGACCAGGCTGGCCTCAAACTCAGTGTACCGCTGGCCTCTGCCTCCCGAGTGCTGGGACTAAAGGTGTGAGCCACCATGCCTGGCTTGTGACACTTTTTTTAAACCTTTTTGGGACAGAGTTTAAGTTGCCCAGGCTGACCTTGAACTTGAGATCCTCCTGTTTCATCTTTCCAAGTGCTGGAATGACAGGCCTGCACTCATTAGTCATTCAACTCTTCAAGATCCAAGGAATCAGCTGCTTTGAGCTGCTTTTTGGTTGTTTGTTTTTGTTTTGTTTTGTTTTGAGACTGGATCTCAACTCTGTAGCCCAGGCTGACCTTGAACTTGAAAGCTAAGATGGCTGCCATCTTATGCCACATAGACTGTGCTGAGCATCTTACATATGTTAATTTCCCCCTCCCATTTTTCTATTTCCAGCTTACAGGTGGAGATGCTGAGGCCCAGAGAAGACAGGACATGCCCTCTTGCCACCCTGGCCTGCGACACCCACCTCAGCGCTGCGGCTCCTGGCCTCCATAGCTCTGCAGAGAGTCACCTGGGGCTCAGTCTCCTGTTTCCTCTCCTTCTGCTGTAGGACCAGCTTCAGCTCCTCATGGAGCAGCTGCCGCTGAGCCTGGGGGTACAAGATGGAGGCATGAGGCACAGAGGGATTGTGGGGTAGAGGTTGGGCTTGCCAGAGAAATCGAAGCAGGGATGCCACAGGCGGACAGGGAGTAGGGCTCCTCACCGCTTCCTGGGTAAGGGTCTTTTCTCCTGACAGGAGGCCCCCGTGGGGTGATACGCAGCCGTAAGCAGGGATCTCACTCTTCCGCTGAGGTCTTGCTGCCTGTCAAGGAGAGACAAAGGACCGTGGGACACCAGACAGGCCCGGGAAGACAAAGATGGGTATGTGGTACCAGTCGGCACTCACCTGAGCGTCACTTCCAACACGCTGGGCCTCCTGGGTCGGGGGCTCTAGGAAAACAGCAAACACAGCAACGTTACCTCATATCCCCTGGCAGCGCCCTGAGAGCCCGAGCCTGTGCTCATTCTGGTGATCCTTCGTCCTCAAGTGCCATAGTTATTTCCAGGCCAGCCTGGGGTACGTGGTGTCTCAAAGCCTGAATGCAGAGCCAGGCAGTACATACTTGGAATCCCACCATGTCTGATTTATTCCCCGGAGAGGCAGCCCAGGACTTTGCACATGCAAGGCCCCTGTTCTACTAGCTGAGCTGCTTTCCCAGCCCTTGCTTTGAGTTTTGAGACAGGGTCTTCCATACGTGTTAGCTGAAGATAACCTTGATCCTCCCATTTCAGCCTCCCAAATGCTGGGGTTACAGGCCTGTGTCACCATTTGGAGTTTCCTGAACCCCTGCTTCACTTCTGAAAATGCGCCCTTTGAGAGGCCAAGCAAACCTGTGCCCGTTTGGGGGCACACAACTCAAGAAAAAGGCCCAGGGAAGGCAGCCTCCAGCCAGGCCCATCTGGAGACACGGAGGAGGAGACCGTCTCTGCACTCGGCCCCCACCTGGCATGCCAGCCCGCCAACCCTGCCACACAGGAAAAGGTCAGGCGCATGCGGCACATTCCCTTGCACAATGGCCCGTCTGCTCTGCCAGTCACATTCTGCCCCTGCCCACCCACCCACCCACCCACCCACCTCCATACAATGGCCCTTCATAGCTCCCCACAGGGGCAGAGGAGCTCAGTTGGTACAGGGCTTGTTGAGCATGCACAAAGGCCCTGAGTTCAGTTCCCCAGCGCCACATAAACCCGGCGTGGTGGGCGCACAACATAATCACAACACTCGTCAGGTAGAGGCGGAAGGATCAAAAATTCAGCGTCATCCTTAGCTCCCTACATGAAACGGGTTTCAAAAACAACAAATTTAGCCCACGATCGGCCGGACAACCCACCTGGCATATACTCCACCCCAACAACTGGCCCCCACAGTGTCTGACAGTTCTAGTCCGCAACTCCCAGCGAACCTAGATTCTCTGTCCAAGCAAAGCCTTTCTTGTGTGCCCTCAGGTCCTCCACACAAGCCCAAGACCTCTTCTAAAATGGTTGCCCTGTGAGCCAGGGCCTGTGAGGGCAACGACAGGCCTGGAATTCACCCTGTAACGGGCAGAGATCAAGGCTCAGGGTCACACAGCCAGGATGAGGCAGAGTAAAAGACTGACTGTACTTTTGACCTCTGCTCTGTACCTAACCTGCAATGGCAAGACCCAGTTTGCAGAGCCACTGGGTCAAGGGCTGAGGTGGGCAAAAGGGGTCAAATTGAATAAATTCCAGAGGGACCGTGTTAGTGCCAGGCCTGGCCATGGACCCTGTTTTGCTGGCAAGTGAAGGAAAGTTAGAGACAGAATTTTATACACTGGGTATGGTCCAAGGCTCCTGTAGTCAAACCGGATTATGAGTTAGAATGCAGCCTGAGCTACATGAGACCCTGTCTCAAAAAATTGAAACATGGGGCTGGAGAGATGCTCAGCGTTTAAGAACACATATTGCTCCTGCAGAGTTCTGTGCCCGGCACAGCAGGCAGTTTCCACCTGCTTGTAACTAGCTCCATGGGGTGCCCTGCCCTCAGCAACATGCAGACCTGCAGACATACACACATGGACATGGAAATAAAGAATAATAAAAATACTGAAACAACCCGAGTGGGAGGCGGGAAGGCTTACAGTTTAGGGCCAGCCGGCTTGGACTACAGCATGTGACCCTGTCTCGAAGAAGAAAGAAAGGAAGAAATTCCAAATTTAAATAGAGTCAATAAGGTCTGTGGGGAACCTTGACCTGACATGGTGGCAGGTACCAAGGAGGATACTGTAGGCCATATTCTCCTTGCTCTGGGCCCAGGCAACTAGGCTACATTGAGAATCTGACACAGGAAGCCGAGGCAGGGCCAACCCCAGTGTCCTCCCTCTTCATCTGGGCCTGGAACAGCTGCCCAGCCCAGGTTATATTTAGACTGCTGAGCCCTTCCAGAGCCACGTGCCCAGCTCCTGGGCAGGGGTGGGGGCAGCTTCCGAAGGAAATGGACCCTGCACAGGAACTCTTTGTTCTCAGAGCTGCCCGTCCCGCTAGGTAAGGAAGTGGGGGACAGGCTTCCTGGGAGTCCCAGGTTTGCATCACAGGAGCAGGGAACGGTGAATAGTGACAAGGCAGAGCTTTCTGGATGTCAACAGCTCATTTCTTGAGGCACCACTCTCCCATATGCCTGAAACTCTTCCAAGCTTTTCCAAGAATCCTTATTTCTTAAGCATTTACTATGTGATAAGGTTAGAAATAGAATGTCTTAGCCAGGCGGTAGTGATGAATACTTTTAATTCCAGCACTCTGGAGGCAGAAGCAGGCAGATCCCTGAGTCTGAGGCCAGTTTGGTCTATACAGAACCAGTTCCAGGACACCCAGGGCTACACAAAGAAACTGTGTCTTGGAAAACAATAATAGGAAAAAAAAAAAAAAAAAAGAAATGTAATGCCTTTTTATCAATGCTGGGTAATGAGCCCAGGGCTTCATGGTTGCTGGCCAGTCACTCTATCACTGAGCTACCTCTGACAAGGTCTCGAGCTCCAGGCTGGTCTCTAGCTCCTTATGTAAGGGAGGGTGACCTTGAACCTTCGGTCCTCTAGCTACCTCCCTAGCACTGGGATGGGAGGCTCGACCATACCAGGTTTTATGGGATGCTGGAGATCAAGCTCTTGGCCTCTTGCATGCCAGGCGAAGCACTCGACGATTGATTTACGTCCTACCGCATATCCCAGCTTTTTTCTTGCTCTTTCCTGAGGCAGGGCCACACGAAGTTGCCCAGGCTGCAGACAGGCCTACACCATCAGGCCAAGATCTGTCTGTCCATTTAAGGCCTGAGTGTGGCTGGGAGGAACACTATCTGTGGACTTTCCAGAGCTAAGGATTCTGCCCTGGCTCCTTCCCCTCACAATCTGCTGTCTCCCTCGTGTGTGACTTCTGCCCACACAGAGCTTGGCTTCCATAAGCCACCTGTGATCTGCAGCCCTCGGCAATGTCCAGCTCGTCCTGGCTCTGAACACTAGATAAAGCCTGTAATGAGGATGATAGGAAGGTACCTAGACAGCATAGCCTGTGGCCACTTAGGTTTTCCCAGCTCCAGTACTTCGTTAGCCTGAGCACATAGAAAATCCTTCTCTTTACCTGAGATATGTGCTCAGTAAAGTAACTTCATGGGCATGGTGGCAGCCGAGAATCCTAGCAGTTGGGAAGCTGAGGTCAGAGGACTGTGAGTTAGAGGCCAGCCTGGAGTCTGTCTTTAACACACACACACACACCAGGTACTTTGAATATTCCTTGTATATGTTAAGTGCTCAGTTAAAGTTTCTGGCAGCAGCAGAGCTCACAGAGCGGAGGGGAGATGCATCTGTTTCTCAGATTCAGCTGTACTTGTGTGTTAGACAGTGTCTCCTGGTAGACACCCACTATGTCGCTGAGGATGACCTTGAACCCCTGATCCTGTCTCTCCACCTATGAGTGCTGGGATTACAGGCATGGACTATCACACCTGCCTTCCATGCCCAGCCTTTGCACCACAGCAGTCCCCAGCCTCAGACCAATGGGGTCCATGCTATCTCTCCAGCACCCACTTTCAAAAGCCAGGAACCATTTCTCAGTGATTCACATGCCATGCCACACCAGCCACGCAAGGCCCATCTTACAGATGGGAAAGTAAAGACAAAAGTTGGAGTCTCTTGCCTGAAGCCGCCAGCCAGGTGTAGCTGGGCGCACCTATAATGCAAGGACTCATCCGACTAAAAAAAGAGGCCTGCCAGAGCCTAAAGCTAGCCTGGGCTACGTAGAAAGACTCTGAGACTGTGTCTCAAAAAATGCTAAAGGAAGAGCCTCGGAGAAAGTAGAGCAGTGGACAGAGCCTGGCCTAGCATGCATGTGGCCCTGGATTCTATCTCCAGTGTGCACAAACACGCAGCATGGAGGTCCATGCCTGTGGGCCCAGCACTTGGGAGGTGGAAGCAGGAAGCTCAGAAGTTCAAAGTTAGACTCAGCTACAGAAATTGGAGCCCAGCCTGGGCTACATGAGATCAAAGAACTGCCTCTCCCCTCCCCCCCAAAAAAGGGTGGGAACATAGGACTTGAACCCAGAGCCTGGCTCCGAAGTTCATGAATTTAACTACAGTATCACCCTCCTTTTCCAGCCTCCCAGAACCCTAGGAGCTGTTGGGCCCAGACTGGCCAGCTGATTATTTCTTACCTGTGAGCCTGCAGGCACCTCCAGAGCTCCTGGTCTGTCTGTCAGCCCCAGCCTTGAGCTGGGAGGGAAAAGGGATGGGAAGGGGGAGGAGAGGAAGGGGGACCCTGGCCATTGGCTGCCCTGCTTTGATGTCACCACAGGGTGGGTGGTGGGGAAACAAACATCCCCTTCTCTGCACTACATCCTTCAGCAAGGGGGTGGGGATCTGGCACCATCACCCGCTCCCTTGCCAAAGCCCAGACCTCCACCCCAGCCCTGGTTCAAGAATTTGCATACCACCCCCATTGGAACACTCAGCACTGAGCCTGCATCATCTCTGGGCTCCTGGACCCAGGCCTAGCTCACACAGTCCCTGAGACTCCCAAGACAACCTTCTACACTGTCTCCCTGATAACCTGGTTCAAATCCCAGCTCAGGCACTCCTGGCTATTGGAACTTCAGCAATCACAGGGCATCTCTGGGCTTCAATTTCTTTGTCTTTGAAATAGGGTAGTAAACACTCTGAAGGCAGGGGCAGGCAGATCTCTGAGTTTTGAGTTCGAGGTCAGCCTGGTCTACAGAGGGAGGGCCAGCTAATGCTACACAGAGAAACCTGTAAAAAAAAAATGCTTATCTTTTGTAATAGTTTTAACGTTGTGATGGGTCAAATGAGTTTTAAAACTTAAGGTGGGGCCAGTGAGATGGCTCAGCACAGGAAGGCCCTTGCCATTATGCCCAAGGATCTAAATTCAGTCCGAGCCCACATGATGAAAATCGAGAACTAACTCATGCAAACTGTCCTATGACTTACACACACACAAACACAGCCTGTGACACTTATGCGCACTCAATAAATAAATGGAGTTGGAAAAGAAAGGCTAAGGCAGGGGCTTAGCAGTTAAGATCATTCGCTGGTCCTCCAGAGGACCCACGTTTGGCTCCCATCCCCACCTAGAGTGGTCTATGATCATCAGTAACTTCAGTTCCCCAGGAGCCAGTACCTCTGGCCTCTGCAGGCACCTATCTGTCCTCCCATGGCCACAAGCAGACTCTCTTACACATAATTAAAAATAATAACAAATCTTTAAAAAAAAAATAAAGACAAAAGCAGGCCAGGAGGCAGTGGCCCACGCCTTTAATCCCAGCACTCAGGAGGCAGAGGCAGGCAGATCCCTATGAGTTTGAGGCCAGCCTGGTCTACAGAGCTAGTTCCAGGACAGCCAAGGTTACACAGAAGAACCCTGTCTCAAACAAAAACAAAAACGAAAATAGTCACAAAAATAAATAAATAAATTCAAGAGGAATAAATTTCCTTTTGTTTTTGTTTTTTTCCCAGACAGGGTTTCTCTACACAGCCATGGCTGTCCTGAGACTCCCTGTGCTACATACTGAGTTGAGGCCAGGCTCATGAGATAACGGCTTAAGAACACAAAGAACAACAACAACAACAAAATGAGAGTCCTGGATAGGCCTCTCGGGGGGAGGGGAACTTTGAACCTGTGATCATAGACTGGGTATAGGAGAACTCCAGTTTATTGATTATTGAAGCCACCGTCCCTGACACTTGCTGTATCCCCAGTTGTATGCTGGGCCCCAGAGCTCTGCCTCGGCCTCAGGGTGGGCTCCTTGTGTTCGGTGTATAACTACCCAAGAAGCAAGAAGGAGGTGATGGAGCTCACCTCCAACCTCAGTTCACCAGATAGATGCCTTGCGCCCCTCTGGCCTGGCGACTCCCAGGTGAGGAGTTCCGCATGAGGGACAGTGACTTTCACGAAATCACCCAGCGAGCAACTGTATCACACACTTAAAGCCAGTCCTACCCAGCTCTCAAGCCAACGCCTCAAGGCCTCACCCCCACTCCACTGTCCCCCAACCCAGCCCCCACCCTGCCCTGACTCACCAGACCCTGAGGAGGAACGGCAGAGGAAGCACAGATACCCCCACATTCCTTGCCACCCACCCACAAGGCCGCTGTCTCAGATGCTCTCCGCTCTCTGAGCTAAGGCCTAGAGCTGGGGCCAGACTGAGGCTGGGGGATTACCCCCAAAGCTATCGTCAGCAGCTTCTGCCCCATTGTCCATCCAGGCCCCCGGGCTCCACCCTGGCACCTCACACTGGCTTGGGTGGTCTCCCTGTGGACCCTCCTGTCACCCCATAAGGAGAGATCTGGGCCTATGCTGAGGGCATGGGGTCAGGAACAGAGCGGCAGGATCCTGGTGTGGGGCCGCCCCCTTCCTCTGTGAAATGCCCCCTGCCCACTCTGAGCCACCAGGGAAGGCTGGAATGTGCTGAGCTCCTGGAAATGCCTTCCAGCTCTGGCGGGCCAAAAGCGATAGGGTGTGGCCAGAACAGAGCCAGCACCATCCCGGAAGTGAGGGCGGAGGCTGCTGCTGAGACCCTCGCGTAACTGTACCCTCTCTACCATGTACTCCTAGAAACACTCAGACATCCACTTGCTCATTTATTCATACAAGAAGCATTTACTGTGGCACACACCTATGATCCCAGCGCTTGGCAGGTGAAGGCAGGAGGATCTAAAGTTCCAGGTTGACCTCAGCTACGTTCTGAGCTTAAGGTCAGCCTGGGCTACATTAAACCCTACCTCAAAAATCACGACATAACAACAAACAAAGGTGAAAGAAATTAGGACATGGGGGCTGGAGTGATGGCTCAGTGGTTAGAGCACTGTCTGCTCTCCCAGAGGTCCTGAGTTCAATTCCCAGCAACCACATGGTGGCTCACAGCCATCTGTAATGAGATCTGGTGCTCTCTTCTGGTATGCAGGTGTACATGCAGGCAGAACACTGTATACATAATAAATAAATAAATCTTAAAAAAAAAAGAAAGAAATTAGGACATAGTGTCCTCTCCATTTCTCAGAAAATGGAGCTCCCCTCCCTCTGGGACAGGGCCTCACTATGTCGCCCTGGCCGTCCTGAAGCTCCATATTTAGAACAGTATGGCCTCAAGCTCAGACACCCATCTGCCTTTGTCTCTAGTACTGTGAATAAAGGCATTCGCCACCATGCCCAGCTTCATCACTTCCCTCAAGGTTGGTTTTCTTTTTCTTTTTTCTTTTTGGCTTTTTGAGACTACAGTTTTTCTGTGTAGCCCTGGCTGTCTTGGACTCACTTTGTTGACCAGGCTGGCCTAGAACTAACAGCGATCCGCCTGCCTCTGCCTCCTAGAGTGCTAGGATTAAAGGAATTTGCCCTTTTGTTTTTGTTTTTCAAGGCAGGGATTTAAACTGGGCAGTGGTGGCACATACCTTTAATCCCAGATCTCTGTGAGTTCAAGGATAACCTGGCCTACAGAGTTCTTTCTTGGGGGGTGGGAGGCAGCAGTCAGGACAAGGTTTCTGTGTAACCCTGCCTCCCTCCCAAGTGCTTCATCATTGCCTAGCTTCCCTCAAGGTTGTTGTTGTTGTTGTTGTTATTATTATTATGCTTTGTTTTGTTTGGTTGGTTTTGGTTTTTCAAGACAGGGTTTCTCTGGGTAACAGTCCTGGCTGTCCTGGAACTCACTTTGTAGACCAGAAAGTCACTTTGTAGACTCCCAGAGGTCCTCTTGCCTTCACCTCCCTCCCTGGTGCTGGGGTTAAGGGCCCCACACTCGGCCCCCTCGAGTATTTAAAAATGTGTATTTATTATACTTGTATGTACTCCATAGGGTCTGTGTGTGTGCGCGCTGTGTGTACATGTGCTCTTGCACCAGTGTGTTCATGGGGAAGTCAAAGGAGAACACTCACAAGTGAGTTCTTTTGCAGTGCAGAGTCTAGGGACCACACTCAGGCCATCAGGTCTGACAGTAAATGCCTTCACTTGCTGAATCATCTCAACAGCCGTAGACATCCTTCCTCAGTCTCAGACAAAGGGATTTAGTCTTTCTGAGAGACTGTGTGAGCCAGGCTGGGCTTGAGATGAAAATTCTCCTGTCTCTGCCCTTAAAGTCCTGGTGACAGGGGCAGCTGTGCAGGTGCCACTCCAGGCTTCAACACTTCGCCTTTTTTCTGTCTATGGTAATGAGGATAGAATCCAAGCCCTGAAACAGGCTAGGCAGGGGCTCTACCCCTGAGCCACACCTCAGCCCCTCACTGGGGAATTCTAGGCAGGGGCTCTACCACTGAGCCACACCCCAGCCCCTCACTGGGGGATTCTAGGCAGGGGCTCTACTGCTGAGTCTCACTCCTCGTTCTTGTCATTTGGTCTTCTAACAGAAATGATGTAAACAGTGAGTTCAGCCACTCATCTTATAGTTCCAGCACTGTAAAAGCTGGGGCACGAAAATCACTTGGCTAAGTGTAGAGGTTAGACACTAATCTGGGCAACATAGTAAGATCCCATCTCAACAAATGACAGCAACAACAACAACAACAACAACAAAGCAAGCTACAACAAAAAGATTTGCTGTTTGGGCCAGCAAGATGGCTCAGCAGGCAAAGACTTTGACCTTCTTTTGATCCTCACGACCTATATGGTTGAGGGTAAGAACGAATCATTTCATGTTGTCTTCAGACATCCCCGTGTACAGGGGGAAGTCTCACCCTCCCGAATGAGTAAATCCAACAGAACAAAAAGACTTAATGTCAGCTGTCATCTGCTTGTTGGTTTGTCTCTCTATGTCCATCTGGATCTTGGTCCTTCATGTCTGTCCTTATTCCTTGTCTGTTTCCTTTTATGTCCATCTATGTCTTTCCATCTATGTCCCTGTGTCTTCCTCTCTCTCTGTTTTGTTTTCCCTAACCCAGTGGGGTGTGGTCATCGGAAGCTGAGTTTATGGGGGTGGCATCAGCCCAGGCTACCTCCGTAAACACAGGACATCCTGTGGGACAGAAGGGATGTGGTGAGGTAGAAGTGGCCCTCCTGGGACCATCCTCTCCTGATCCAGCCTAAGCCCTGGGGGATCCTGGGCCTGCCCAGCTCAGCCCAGGGTCACTAATGTCTCCCTTGTCCACCCTTCAGGCCCCTTCCTCTCCCCTGACTCTCTTTGGAGTTCAGTCCCAGGAGCGCAATGCCTTTTCCTTGGTCTTCATATCTTCTTATACAACTAGCATCTGTCCATGGGCTCAGCACCACCCCAGCCCTACTTCTGTTACTCATTCTTCTGTGTTCTCACCGTCCCCCAGGAGCTCCAGCCTACAGCTGGCCCCGGGGGTGTTCCTGCTGTTCTGCCACCTTTGCCTCCCTATGGCTGCTCCACTCCTCTCTAGGGACTCTACCCCGAGCTCCTGAGCTCCAGTGACCTCACACCCCATGTCCACTGGCAGCTGGCAGCATCCAGTAAGGAAATTATTGGCTCCCTGGTGTTTTCACTCTGAAGTCCTTCCTTGTGCCTATGTGCAACGGCCCCTGCCTCCCTCTCTTCCTGGTCTCATTGATTTTGTGGCTTTCCTTCCTCATTCTAGCCAAAGCCAGCTCCTCAGAGACCCCTGAAAATGCAAGGTCCATTTTCAGCCCTTATAAATGTTATTACCTTTCTCTCTCTCTAGAGCAACAACCCTCTAAATATTCCAATTTACAGAGAACTGGGTGGCTCAGGAAAGTGAGGTCACTTAGCCCCTGAGCGGCAGAGTTATGTTTTTGTTTTTTGTTTTTCCAAACATGACAATGTACACTTATTTATTTATGCATTCCTTTTTAGGTGCATCTTTTGGTGTTTGGCCTAGCATGTATGTCTGTTAAAGACAGCTGTGAGTTGCTATGTGGGTCCTGGGAACTGAACCCAGGTCCTGTGACAGAGCAGCCAGTGCTCTTAACCCCTGAGCCATCTCTCCAGCCCCCAGAGTTGTGGTTTAAACCCATGTGGGAGCCAAGTCTGGTGGTGCAGCTCTGTAGTTCCAACTAGTTGAGAGGCTGAGGCAGGAAAATACTTTCGAGTTCCATCCTGGTTTACATAGTGAGTTTTAGGATAGCCAGGGTTACAGAGACCCTGTCTCAAAAAGCAGGGAGGTGGGATCATGAGAGACTGGGAATATGGCTCAGTGGTACAGTGCTGATCTAGAGCATGGAGCCCTAGGTTAGTTCCCAACACCACAAGAAACAAGCAAATGAGGAAACAGACCCTAGTGGCCCAGCTTTTAAGCACTGCTTTTCTTTCCCTGCTTTGATTGAAGCTCATCACTGCAGCAGCATCTGGGAGCATCGTTCCATTTCCCCCTCACGGCCGATGCTGCTCCTTGGCCCCAGCGCCTCTTAGCTGCAGCTGTACAGGTTGCGAGCTGTGCAAGTGCCGGTTTTTAAGAGGCACCAGGCACTTCCATCCCTGCAGATGAAGGTCAAGCTCCTGAAAGCAAGGGCTCAAGCTCTGTGCGATAGGCCAAGTGTCAGTGCTGCCGTCCTGAAACCTTTGTGATAAGACTGTGTCTGAGGTCCCGTCCCTGTCTCCTCACACCTGACCGCAGGGTGGCCTAGTGGACTTTGCGGTACAGCTGATGCTCAGGTTCTACAGCAGGAGGACACGCCCCCTCGGCCAGCAGATTCCAGGGCCCACTGCATTCCAAGCTAAGTGCCTGTGCGGCCTGGCTGGCACTGGGCCGCCTTTTCACACAGTCACTGTGTGTTGTCTCTGACCCCTCTCAGGGCAGCTCCCTCCATAGGCATTCACCAGCAATAAAACTGTTCGTAGCCACCTTCTCCTATTTCAGGAGCTACGAGCACCTACTGTGTACCTGACCCTGCGTGAAAGGTACATCTAAGAGGCTGAGGCAGGAGGATGGATGTGAGTTTAAGGTCTGTCTAGACTTCTTAACAACAGACACCGTGGCTCAAAAAGATAACAGCCAGGCGTGGTGGCACAGGGCAGTAATCCCCCTCTGGAGACAGAAGCAGGTGGATCTCTGTGAGCCCAAGGTCGTTCTGGTCTACGTAGGGAGCTTCAGGACAATCAAGATTACAAACAAACCAACCATAATTAATTAATACCTGGCTCAGGACAGCAGCAAGTCTGAGGTCAGCCTGGACTACATGATAAATTCAAGGCTAGCCTGCGGGAATACTATAGTGAAAGCCTGTCTCAAGAACCAGAGTTGCACATTCCTGTAATCCCGGTTTGTAAGGAGGTAAAGGCAGAAGAATCAAGAGTTCAAGGCTGGCCTACGTTACTGAGTGAGCTAGAGGCCATCCTAGGACACAGGAGCCTCATCTTAAAAAAAAAAAAAAAAAAAAAAGCGGGAGACCCACACCAGGCAGGTCACTATTACATCGTAGATTCCAAAACACAGTCACAAGGGGGCGCAGCAGAGCTCAGCCTGGCTCCCAAGGTCTCGTCCAGCGGCCGTCACGTCAATGTCCTGTGGTCTAGGCATGGGAGTCTCCAGGACTTGGGTTCAGGAGCCTAGAAGATCCTTAGCTTGGCACCAGCGCCCTGAAGCCATGTCCACCGGCTTCTCTCAGGCACCCACCTCAGCCACTTCCAGAAATGGGCAAAGCTTCCTCCGCTCCTCCAGGAAGCCAAGCTCCGCCCGCCCCTCCCCGGCCCCTGGGGCTGCGTGCCGCTCCCGCCTCTCCAGCTCCACCCGGCTGCAGTCTCGGAGCTTCCGGCCCCCGGGGAGGCACAGGAGTGGCCCTCCGGTGTCACTGTCCCCGGATCCAGGATGAGTCCTGCCCTTTGGGTGGCAGTCCAGCCCCCGGCTCCTCCCTCCCTGCCCTCCCCACCCTCCTTCCGCTCCCCGGGTCCTGCCCTGCCCTGCCCCCACGGCCGCCAGGAAGAACGCAGCCTGGGTCCCGTGCCAGGGCTGTGAGTGTGCGGCCCCTCCCAGCTCGGCCAGGAATGCAGCTGGACCGCGGGGGCGGCCGCAGACACCCGGCTCCGGCCGGGCCCAGCGCTGCGCTCAGGCAGGCAGGTGGCCCCGGCTTGCCCGGACCTGGGTTGCTCCTAGATGGAAAGCCAGCTGCCTGTCCCTGAAGGTCCTGCCTCCTCTCCACCAAGCCTGAAAGCTCCTGCCCTTTGCTCAAATGTATTTCATACCTGGAGTGTATTTTCTTTCACTCTGTGGGGTTGTCACGAGATTATGAGTTTGATGTTATTTCATCCCTATCAGCACACACACATACACTTGATACCTCCCAAAGCTGGTTTTAATTTCAAAAAAAAAAAAAAAAAATTATGAGGTCTCTTTCCACACTGGGGATAATGGGAAGGGATAACCCAGACTGTTGTCTTGGGGGATCAGTGCGACCCCCTGGCCTGGAACACATTTCGGTCACTGGGTCCTGTCATTCCGCTGGGGCCTTTCTTCCAACTCTCTCACTGGCCAAGACAGGTGGGTGGACGCCAAGCTGCCCAGGACTCAGTACTGTATCTTCAAAGTGGCCCTGGCCCTCCTGTGCAAGGGAAAGCCACCTGTGTTATGCCACGGTGGACAGGTCTAACCAGGCTCAGCTCAGAGCCCGGCGACCACCCCTGTGCCTCAGGGTCAGCGCCCAGGCCCAGGTGGCCGCTCCAACGCCTGGGCGCCGACCAGCACGTCCATGAGGTAGTCCAGCTCCTCCTCGTCCAGCTCTGCGGTCTCCTCTTTGGCTGGGCCACTCTCAGGGCCGGGTTTGAGACCCTCAGAGGCTGGCACCCACAGTTCACTGTCATACATGGAGGTATCAATGTCCTCAAATAAGCCCTCCAATCCATCGTCCAGCAGACAGCCGGTGGCTGGGCCTAGCAGGTCCAAGGCACCCAGGCTGGGCGGGACACCCGCAGTGGAGCGCCCCGGGGGCCCCTCGTCCGATTGGGCGTGGGGGGCTTGGTTCAGGTCCTCAATGTGGTTGAGATCTTCCAGGAGGCTGGCCATGGAGGCTGCGAGGCCAGCATCTGAAGTAGCCAGAAGGCTGTCCGCCACAGAGGGGGCTGGGGGCGGCGTGGGGGCAGGGGGCAGGGCGGCGGCCGGCTCCATGGAGGCCTGGATGCGCCTCAGCGTGTTCACCACCAGCACCAGGTGCCGCAGGTCTGGCTCGCTCTGCCGAAGACTGTGGTGCAGCTTGAGCACGGACAGGTCAAAGAGAGAGCTGGACGCCACGGGCGGGGGGGCCTGTGCCACTGCTGGGGGGCTCGGATCCAGCCACCACGAGTCCACTGACAGCGCCTCCTTCTCCTCCTCCTCCTCCTCGCGCTTGCGCTTCAGGCCCTTGCTCAGCATGGTCTGCGGGAGGAAGGAGCCATTTAGTCATGGAGAGCCAACAGTGCCTCCACACCCAGCTCTGACAACTGCTGTCAGTGTGCTCCGGACAAGCCAGTTAACCACAAGGCTAGGTTTCCTAAGCCAATTCTTACTTATTTTCAATGAGACAGGGTCTCATGTAACTCAGGCTGGCCTCGAACTTGCTATGTAGCCAACTTCTGACCTTCCCTCCTCTACCGTCCAAGGGCTGGGATTACAGGTGTGTACCAACTGCACCTGGTATATATGACTCTGGGGATGAAGCCCAAGGCTTCATTCCAAGGACTTTGGTACACGCCCCTACTCACACCCTGCTCCTGTAGTGGTCTTCTAAGATACTGAAAGCATCTACATTATAAATGGCTATACAGAGTAGATTAAAAGAAAAAGCCCTTGCAAAATAGCCATTAGCACTTTGAAATATTACTTTTGATTTTGTGCGCATGAGACTTCAGATGCCCAAAGAAGCTGACGAGAGTGCTGGGACCTGAACTCACGTCCTCTGTAGGAAGGGCAAGCTCTTAAGCCACATAATTAGTACTTATTTATAAGTACTTTTTGCTTTTGCTGTTTTGACTGCCTTCCACTGCAGTCCAGGCTGGCAGGCCATTCCAGGCAATCCTCCTGGCCCCTGCTTCCCGGGTCAGGATTGCAGGTGCGTGCCTCCACCTGGCTGCAAACACAGCCACCTTACACAGTTCAATACAGAGTGTCTGCTTTACATCGACACCTATACAATCAAACACAGGAAACAGACACAAAGCGGTGGGAAGGCGCCATCCTGGAGGTAGTCGCGGCACGTTTTTGTAAGGAACATTTGAGCTGGGCCCTGACCTATGCCTGTATGCGGTGTTGGTTACCAGGGACAGGCTCTCCTGAAAGAGCCAAGGGAAGACCAAGAGAAGGAAACCTGAACTAGGCGAGAGAGGGAAAAAACAAACACAAAAACAAGGAGCAGGCGCGCACAGTGACACGCTAGGAGTCCCGGTGGGGGTAGGGAGCAGGCAGGAGGAGTTGCGGGGAGGAGTAGGAGCCTTGGATTTTCAGAGTGACAGGACAGAGTCCCGGAGGGTCTAGGCAGGGAGGTGAGGGCTGGTGTTAGCAGGCATCGCTAGAGGATCCCGGGTAGCTGCTGCCTAGGAGGAGCTGGGGGGTGGGGCAGCGTCGGGGTGAAGTCTGGGGGTAGACTGGGCCTGAACTGCCTTCCGAGGCTGCTGCGCTCGCGGGGATGCTGCCCGCTTGAGCTTACAGCTGTCAGCAGGCGCTCAAGGAAGTGGTGGATTCTGAACTCACTGAGGAAGAGCCGACAGGGGAAACCCTGAAGGGCGGCGGGAGTAAGTCACTGACAGAAGTTTGAAAATCGGTACTTTCTTCCCGGGTGAGAGCGCTGGAGTTCGGGACCCCTGGCCTCACCTACCCGGGGCACAAAGGCTGCGGGGTCTCAGTCCGGGGACACTGCCCAGACCGGGCATAACACTAAAAATCTTGCCTTCGGCCTTTTCGCCGAAGCCCCGGGAGCCGGGAACCGCAGGAATTCGGCCCCCACCTTGGCTCCGCCCCCGAGCCCCGGCGCCCTCTAGCGACGCCCGGGCCTGGGTTCCCCGGGAGACTCCGGCCCCACTGACCCGGGATCCTCTCCACTCCCCAGAGCCCCGCCTGCTCCTCCCCGGCCCCCGCGAGCCGCGACCCCCGCGGGCCGCTCAGCGACCCGGGCCTCCCCTCGCTTCCGGAAGGCAGCGGAGGCGGCTCCTCCCGGAGCGGCGGCGGCGGGGGCGGGTGAGTCACGCAGCCGGAGCCAGGGAGCCGGCGCCTCCGCCCCCTTCTCGGGCTCCGGCGTGATTCACTCAGCCCGGCCCGGGCAGGCGACAAGTACAGGCCCCGGGCGCCTCGATCCCGGGCAGCCCCGGCGAGCATCTACCTAACCGGGGGTTCGAACTCGCTAAGTAACCCGGCCGCCGGTACCCCCGTCGTTCCCCACCTCATTTACATACCCAGATCACTCGCGACCAATCAGAACGAAGAGGGAGCCACACGCAGCCAATCAGGAAGCGGCAGCCGTAGCATCGCTTGCTCGCTCGGCTCCGGCAACCGGCACCTGGGACGGTAGACGCAGTTCTGACTCCGGCGCACGACTCCAGACACTCGACTATCCCTAGTCCCCGCCCACTCCGTGGCGGCCCCGCCCTCCAGCTCAGGGATTGGCTCTGGTTGGGCTGCTGGTAGGCGGGGCCTGGACGGGGCCGTTCCAAAGGGAGGGGAGGCTGTCTCTACTGCGCATGCCCGGGAGGGCTGCCTTTGCCAAGGGGTAAAGGCTGGCGGAGATTTCCCCTGTGGGCGGTGACAGGTAGGGGCCTTGACTTTTTAAAGTGCTGGCCGGTCACTTCGTGTGTGGTTTTGGAAAAATGAATGACTTCTGGGAGAGGGACACAGCTTGTTTACTCGACCTACCTCTTGAGAGTTGGAAAATTAAGACTTTCTCAGTTAGTAGCCCTATCCCAGGCTCAACTGCGGAGGGACAGCTGGACTCCGCTATGATTAGAGACAGGAGTAAGGTGGGGACCGAATGACACCGGGGTCACATCCTGGACATCAGTTCCGGAGTAGCTGGCCGTGTGACTTTGGGACCACAGTTTAAGTCCCTCAAAAATCTCAGTTTCCTGTAGGGCGTGGATGCTCACGCCCATAACCCCAGCACGGGAAGACTGAAGCTGGGGGATGGCTTTGAGTTTGAGGCCAGACTGGACTTCAGAGTGAGATCCTGTCTCAAAACAAAACCCAAAGACGAACGTGTTTGTTGTTGTTTTTTGAAACCGTTTCTCTAAGTTGCCTAAGTTAGCCTGGGAAATCACTGAAGGATCACTCAAGTTCCAGCCTGGAACCACAGGCTTGTGCCGTACCTAATAGTCTTTTTGTTTGGTTGTTTGGTTTTTAGGTTTTTGTTTTGATTTGATTTTTGTTTTTTTTTTTTTTTTTCAGACAGGATTTCTCTGAGTAACTGCCATAGCTGTCCTGGAACGCACTCTGTAGATTAAGCTGGCCTTGAACTCAGAGATCCCACAGCCTCTGGGATTAAATGTGTGTACTCCAAACCTGGCCTCGAGCTAGTCTTAAAAGATCCCGAAGAGGTGTGGTTTAGTGAAAGAGTGCTTGCCTAGCATTCCAGCATATTAAACACATTCTTTGATTACAGCACTAAAAAATAAAATAAAATAAAAATAAAATAGCCTGATAATTTACTAAGAGTGGAATGTTTAAGGGCTGGAGAGTTGGCTTGTTGCTCTTACAGAGGAGAACCAGGTTCGGTTCCCAGCACCCACAGGGCAGCTCACAGTTCTAGAAGATCCAACACCCTCTCCTGGCTTCCTCAGGCATCTGACACACATAATACATATATAGAAAGGCAAGCAATACACATAAATACAAATAAATACGTTCCTTTTTTTTTTCAAGACAGGCTTTCTCTGTGTGACCATGGCTGCCCTGGAACGTCTCTGTAGACCAAGCTGTTCTCGGAACTCACAGAGATCAACTGCCTCTGCCTCTCAAGTGTTGGAATTAAGGACTGTGCCACCACTGCCTAGCTAAATAAGTCTTAAAAAAATAGTATGGTGGTTACTTGTTGGCCTTTGGGCTAAAGTCCAAAGAGAATAACATTGTAATTAGAGTCAGGATCCTGCTAGGTGAGTGCATGCAATTCTGTCCACAGTCTATTTTCATGGCCAATAAGAAGCTCAGAGCTCGCACGGTAGCCCACTGCTGTCATTCCAGCATGCAGAAGACAGAGGCAAGGAATTGGAGTTCAGGGTCAGCTTGTGCTTGATAATACAAATGTGTTTAAAAAAGAAAAAAAGGGGGGGGCAGAGTGTGCTAATGGCTCAAGTGGCTCACTGTAGGCCACACACTAAACAGCTCATGAGAGCCATTTATTTAACATACATCAATTGAATATCTCTTATGGATGGGCTGTATACAGCAAACAACCCTGCATGGGCTACATGGTCTTTTATTTCCTGGGTCAGGGAAAAGGACAAAAACCAAAAAGAAATTTAGTTAGGTTGACTTACTGTAATCCTACCACCCAGGAAGCTGAGGGAGAAGCCTGGGCTAAACTGCTAGACACGATCTCTCTCTCTCTCTCTCTCTCTCTCTCTCTCTCTCTCTATATATATATATATATATATATATATATATATATATATATTTACCAGGCAGTGGTGGCACATGCCTGTCACCCCACACTTAGGAGGCAGAGGAGGCAGGAGATATCTCTGTGAGCTTGAGGGCAGCCTGGTCTGCAGAGCTAGTTCCAGCTCAGCCAGTGCTACACAGAGAAACCCTGTCTCAAAACCAAACCAAAAAAGACAAAACAAACAAACAAACAAAAAAAAAAAAAAAAAAAAAAAAACCAGTGCTAGAGAGATGGCTCAGCCATTAAAGGCTGGGTTCATAACCAAAATATCAAAAACTAAAATAAAGCCAGTGTGGTGACATGCTCCAGTAATTCCAGCACTGTGAGGTCTGGAGATTCAGGAATTCAGCTACACAGTGATTTTTTTTAAAGCCCTCCAGGACTCAAATAAATACATAAATAAAACAAAAGGTATGCACCCTGGAGTAAGGAATGGGGATGTTTCAGGTGATGACATTTGATGGCTTGCTTCAGACAGGATCTCTGAGCCTAGAACGATGCTGTTGAGAATTATCTTCAAGCTCTGACCTTCGGGCTAAGATGTAAGACTATCACAGCGTCTCTCAACCTCCCTACCTATGCGACTCTTTAATACAGTTCCTCTTCCCAACCGTAAGTTTCCTTTCGTTGCTACTTCACAACTGTAGATTTTGCTGCTTTTATGAATCGTAATGGACATATCGGATATACAGGATATCTGAACTTTGGCTCCTGTGAAAAGGTCGTTGGGTCGGCACCGGGGTCGCGACCCACAGGTTGAGAACCGCTGGGCTACACTTGCCAGCAAAGCTAGAGGGGACTCTTGAAGGAACCGTGCGTAGCGCGGCGGGGGTCAGTGGAAAGGCCCAGAGGTGCTGTTTGTGGGGCAGGTAGGCCAGTCGAACTGGCCCGGAATCTCCCAGAGAGAAGTTTTAGACCTTTGTCCACATCCAACAAAGTGAGAGGCCAAGACCCTTAAAGAGGACTGAAGGAGAAAGAAAGGAATGAAGAAAACAGACGTTCTGCGTCTGATAAGAGACTTGAAGGGAGGGGACAGTGTCCTAGGCAGAGGCGCCTGTCTCCAGGGTGGTCCGCGGGAGCCTCCCCGAGGAGGTGAGTGTTGGAGCGGGGACCAGAAAGAGGAGATTGGGGGAAGGGAGGGAGAGAGCGAGAGACTTGAGAAATGAAACCAGAAGCCAAGCCACCGGGCCTGGCAGGCAAGGGAAAGGGGGAAACCTCGCCAGCTGGGGAGGGAGGGAGGAAGGGAGGGACCGAGGGTGGGAAGGAGGATGTTTCGGGGGAGCGTCCCTCCCCTAGCTAGCCGCCCCACCCGGCCCCTGGGGAGGGAGGAGGCGCCAGGCCGGCTGCAGGCCTCGGCTGCTGCCTCCAGGTCTCCTGCCCGCCGGCCAGCACGTTCCGAGGGTGGGCACGAGGGCGGGACTCGGCCCAGCGCCACGCCCAGGGCCTCGGCGGCCCATCCCCCGCTGCAGGCCCGTTGGGGTGGGCGGGTTGGGGAAGGTGGACGGACTCTGGCCTCTGGGGTTGGCCCCTCTTCAGGGCCAGCCTTTCCTCTTCTGGGGCCAGTTGTTAATGAGGGGAGAAGCCGGACGCTCCGAGCCTCCGTCTGTCCACCTGGAAATCGGGGGTGTTTCTTAGATTGGCCGGTTGCTGCTATCAAGCTTCTGAACTATTACCCCTCCTCTTCATCCTGCTTTTCCCTCATTTTTTTTTTTTTTTCTCTACACGTTCTCTACCAATAACCCAGACTTACCTAGAACTGGCGATCCTCCTGCCCCTAAATCCCAAGTGACGAGGTTTGTGCCACCATGCCCAGCTCCTGTCACTTGCTTTAGGGAAGTAAAGACTTCCAAGAAGGTGAGTCAGATCTCATCGCCTCTGCCTAAAACCCTCCCTCTCTACTGGAAACAAAGCTGAAATCTTCCCAGTCCGCCAGCCACTAGTGCGGGCCCTCACTCCTTCAGCTCTGCTAGTGTCCCTGCGGCCACACTGAGGGCCTCGACTGTCTGACAGGAGCGCATGCTCTGACTCGGGGCCTTTCGCACTGGTTGTCTGTCTGCTTGTTTGTTTGAGACAGAGTCTCTCTGTGTAGCCTTGGTTGTGCTGGACTGGACTATGCTGGAGTTGCCTGCCTGAGTGCTGGGATTACAAGCCAGCTTGGAGTTCATTTTTATGTTAACAGTTTTTCTTTTTTGTGTGTATGTGGCTTTTTTGTTTTGTTTTTCGAGACAGGGTTTTACTGTGTAGCCTTGGCCATTCTGGACTCGCTTTGTTGACCAGTCCTGCCTTGAACTCACAGCCGTCTGCCTGCCTCTGGGATTCCAGGCGTGCCCCCCCCCCCCCCCGCTGCATTTGTTTCTTAAATGGGGTGTATATCATGTGTGTCCATATGCACTGGGAAGCCAGAGTCAGCATGGCGTGTCTTCCTCTGTCACTCAGGGGCGAGCTCTGAGCATCCCCCACCAGTCTCCTGAATGCTGGGATTAGAAGCAGCTGCCAGCTTTTATGTGGTCTGAGGGTCCAAGCTCAGGCCGTTTCGCTTGCATGACAAGTGTTTTATCTGCTGAGCTATTTTCCCCACCCAGCCATCGTGAGCACCCACCTGTGTGTAGCCCTGGGGGTGGGGGAGCACAGCAGGGCAAAGTCCGTCGTGGCCCCTCCCCTGAGAGCTTCTGGTAGAGCTGGAGACTAACCGGGAGCAGGTAATAACCTAGGCCTGCACAGGCGCCCTTAAAGTCAAACACCCGCCAGGTGTGTGGCGCACGCCTTTAATCCCAGCACTTGGGAGGCAGAGGCAGGTGGATTCTGTGAGTTCAAGGCCAGCCTGGTGGACACTGTAAATTCCAGGACAGCAAAGGCTGTATAGAGAGAATCCATCTTGGGGGAGGGTGGAGAAAGAAAGTCAAACTGGGGCCT